TGGTAATCTTTGGAACCGCTGGATCGGATTCTTCAATATTCCTATAGGCTATAAAACATCACGCTACGATCAAATGGAGCCGAGCAGAGAGTTAAGCCGCGTGAGAGTACCTAGTTTTTAATAAAAAAGTAATAACTTTTGTCTAAAGTACCTATAATGTATTTAAGTAACTTTTCTTTAAGTAAGTAAGGTTTGATTAGGTAGCACTGTTCTAGTTCTTGTGTGTGTAGTTGTGCACACTGTTTAGAGTGTTTTTCGAGTTCGATGTTGGAAAATTATTCTATGGCAGAGGAAAGTGCAGTCAGCGATATACATACATACATACAAATGGCAGTGAATTATTACAGGAAAGCCATTAGGTATTTCAAAGGCAAGTAATGAACAAGGAAATGGTTGAATTATGTTCATAGTTTATGTTATAAAGTTTGTACGATTTTAAGTAAGTTATGTTTCGCAACACCGTCCAAATTGCCGTTGTAAATTACAAATAAACAAAATGTTTATTGACATGTGTAACAACTAACGGAAACAAACGCTAATTAAGAATGTAAAACAAAATATATTGTGCAAACATGCCAAGCTGTTCCCGCTAAAATGTTATAACCTGCGGCCATTTCCCACGGGCGGGAAAACGTCATCGAGTCGTGACTTTTTCACGGCCACAGACTAAACCACTTATAAAATATGGAAACCATTAAAGAGTACCAACATAACAGTTTCATTCGAGAAACTATTAAACGTGTTGTTTTTGTGTGCAGACCGCCAAAATGCAAGAGTTAATTACTGCACAGCTCAGCTCTAATGAATTGTTTATTGTTAACCTTGACAGTTACATATTTAAACAAAACGCAGTTTGTTTTTCGTATACTAAATTACTTTACGTCGCATGCTCATTTTAATGGCGGCACGGTTACGTCATTTTAGGATTAGGGTAAAGATTTATAACTCAATTTTCTTTTTTTAATATTTAAAATACCCTTTGATTGTTTAGTCGAATATTTAGGACCGAGAACATAGTTCGTAAATTATATTTAAATATGTTTTAAGTGTTTTCCGAGATTGTTTATAGGTATAGAAAAATATATGGGGTCGTTTATTTTAGATTATAATACTCAGGTATTCTTTGAAGACGAAATAAAAACAATTTATATATTTACAAATTTAAATTTTCGTATCAGTGGGAAGCTGTGGAAAGACATATTGATTATAATAGTGTAAATCATACTCAGGTTAATTGAGGTCAAGTTTTGATATGAATAAGAGTGTTTGAGTAAACATATAGAACACAGGTAACATCTATTCATAAAAACACATTTCACTAAATATAAAAACAACTTATTATGCATTTAGGGAAACAAAAATTAAACAGACGGGAATACGTCGAATTCTAAATACATTTCGGATGCATCGATCATCGCGTTCGGATACATGCAGCGCTATCGCGAGCCGACATGCGTGATTTATGCCACTGGCTGTACGTCCAGTTGTCTTTGCTTTCCGCAATGACAGCGCGGGAAAAATATCTATAATGGCGACATGTTGATTGATGGTATAAAAAAATTAAAGATTTCATTGCTGTATTGTATTGTTTTGCTTATATTTATTATTTCAGGAATAGTTGAATGATTTTCAATAAGTCAATTTTTTTATGGTGTATGTGACAATTTTGTTTCAGAAATTTACTTTATACCGTACATTATTTTTTTCAAGTGCATTAATTAAAAAGGATTATAAGACTTTTTTATCTCTTTGATTTTTATTAGAGTAGTTTTGTTCATTACATCTTCTTTGGAGATTTCAGTGTATACCTAATTGTTTTAAGATAGGCATTAGGTACTCTTTGAGGTTCTGTCGTTAACACAGGCTGGTTAAGATATTTTTCTTAATAGTAAATTCCTCCGTAGTTTTAATTTGTCTAATCTACACCTATTTAGCAATACTTGAAATTCCGTGCAATCTACGCGAACTAGTAACAAAGTACAATGCACTACTATATTGAGCTACGTAACCTGCGTACGCGCAGTTCCCACGAACTGTTGCTAATAAATAATAACTGTTTATCGCTTCATTAGAATCCGGCTTCGTTCCTACGAGTACGTTACTATGTTACTCAAGTATCAATAGTTTTGGTACTTTACATTGCAATGGATGTAATACTTACTAATTATCTTAGTGTAGGTTGCGATATGATCTTGATATTTTAAAGCGATTGTTATGTAAGTACTTATTTTCTAAAAGTTACATAAGCGTGTGTATAGTTGGTTATGTTAGAGTTAGGGCCTATTATATAATGTCTGTATAGACAATATGTTCTAGTTAAATCTATCTTATATATATGTATATTCCGCCTATGAACAACCGCAATAACAGAGGAGTTATGAGTGCGTCGCCGAACTTTTGGGGATTAGGGATTAGGAGATTTTAAGATTGGGGGAGGGGAAGGATCGGACCTCTAGCAACCTCACTCACACGGCGAAACACAACGCTGTGGTCGTTTCACGTCGGTTTTCTGTAAGGCTGTGGTATCACTTCGGTCTAGCTAATCCCTCCTTGCCGAAGCATGGCTTTCCCACACTTGAAATAAAGAATATCAAAATGTTTTTATAAATAGTATAATCCAAGAGTAAAGTTTTACAGTTGACAATTTATTAGGGTTTGCGAAGTCGCGGGCTGGAAGCTAGTATTCAATATCCGTAACAGTATAGTCAATAAGTACTTCAGTAAAATACAATATGGTCGTACATCAAACCGATATTCGCATATTAAAATGTTATGAAACACGATATTTGACTGCCTAACATAAATACAGGTAAATGTTTCTACTTAACTGAAAAAATAATACTTTCTTGGGCATTGCGCATTGAAGATTTTATTATTTTTCACCAGCCTAATATCTGCAAACGCTACAAATCCTTGTCTCTGGCTCAGAACAAAAGAAGGACTTTTAGTCAGCAAGAATCTGATACTCTCTGTCGCCTCTTTCTTCTTCTCTTCTAGTCTTTTGATGATATTCCTTCCTTAAAAAGAGACCTTCACGCTTTGTAATTGAAGAAGTGTTGCTGATTTTTTTTCAAAAGTGGGTTGAGTAAGTTTGTCTTTATACAGCCTTACTGTGCAGTCCAAATTTATTTGCCGGCACGTAAAAATTAGCAGTTATTTAAAAACAGAACTACAATGTATGTAGTTAATTTCAAACCGGACAATCATTAATTACCGACATGTATTATTACTGAGAAGAAACTCATACCGAATAATTTAAATTTATTTATTTTCAACTGTGAAAACGGCAAATTAAATGTAATAGTTTACAGCTTTTAACGTCACACTTGAAAAGTTAACTGGTATCAGTAAGCGCGTAGCTAGGATGTGTCATACGATAAAAAAGATTGCATGACGAAGTCAGCTTTACACTTGCCAGCATTACCGCAAACCAATCACATAAAGTACCGTAAAATATGGACGGAAAGAAAACTCACAGAACACAGGAAAACAAATAAACAAAAAATACGGGACGCACACAATCTGTTATCATAAAAATATCACACAAAAAATAAATACATACGTACACACATACTACCTACATACAGGTAGACTTTGTTTAAAGAAAAATATATTAAGATCAACCCACTTACTAATGTTTTACCATCAATCAGTAAAACAATGTTTGAAAATTCACCCGAACTCTGTTTCGGAAACGTACATTTTTATCGTAATTGTAAACAGTTCGGTAAATAATATTTATTATATTAAACAAGTGAAGTAACGGTACCTTCTTTTATTTTTAGTTTTTTAAGTTTGTTTGACAAACATATTTTATCATCTACTAGCTTTCGTCATTTGACTACCTTTACTCTACCAACTCTACTCTACCTACCCTACTCTACCTAACCCACTCTACCTACCCTACTCTACCTACTCTATCTATCCTACTCTACTTAACCTACACTACCTCCCTGCCAATTTTCAGCTAAATCGCTTCAGCCGTTCTTGAGTTATAAGTGGAGTAACTAACACGACTTTTTTTTATATATGTATACATATAGATATGGATTAAGATATGAAATAAAATCTCCAATTTTTAATTCTTTAAAACAGGAGCTAAACGAGTTGACTGATCACCTGAAGGTAAGTTCAGCACCGTCCATGGACACCTTCAAAATCGGAGCAAGCACAGGCGCATTGCTAGCTTTTTGATAATAAAATATATGATACGAATGCCTTATTTTGCTGTGCCCTACAGGGTCCATAATTGATATCATTCAAATTGTTACCACCTTTATATTATAATGTACTTAAGTATGGTAAAGCAATAAAGATATTGAGTATTAAATATTAAAAATCAATGTAGCCTGTCACTTGGATCACGAAGCACATTTAAACAACACGAATTCCAGTTTAGGAGTTTTTTTAAGTTCGTTTCATATGTAAAATCTGCATTTACACATCATCGCAATAGTAGTCTAATAGACAATTGACTTATTTTGACTTGAATGGTGAGGGGAAATGTCAGACTCTTACTAACTGAACTCTTGTTCCTTCTCTTGTTCCAAGCCGGTGCGCGGTGCCGTGATACATTATAATATACTTACGTGACATCACAAGATATTTCAAATTAATTTATCGTATAAAAAACGTCTCTCAATGTTTTAAATGAATTTAAAAAAGGATATTATAAAAATAAATGTTTTCATTCCAATTATCACTGTTCTAATAGCTTTTTTCCACCCTAGACTGAAAGTCAGCATTTGTCGTAATCGCGGAGCTATCGTGCAGCGGTTGAGTGATTCGCTTATAGGTCTTCAATTCCTGCACGGAAGAATTAATCCGGAAATTGCCACTTAATTGTACTAGATACTATTCTATATAGAAAATAATAATAATATGTAATCAAAGTTTAAATAATATTGTTTAAAGTACCTAGATTAGATACATACAAGTGTGGGAGAGCCATGCTTCGGCACGAATGAGTCGGCTCGACCGGAGTGATACCACGGCCTCACAGAATACCGACGTGAAACAACCACAGCGTTGTGTTTCGCCGTGTGAGTGAAGTTACCGGAGGCCCAATACTTCCCCTCCCCCGATCCCTCCCAATCCCTAAAAGGTCGGCAACGCACTCGTAACTCATCTGTTGCGGGTGACCATGGGTGGCGCTGATTGCTTACCATCAGGTAATCCGTCTGCTCGTTTGCCGACCTATTACATAAAAAAAAACATGTTAGAAAACTTCACATTTGAATTCTTCGGAATAGGCCATGTCTCGGCATGGACGGTCGGAGTGATAATATCACAACATTTTCTTTTCTGTACTTTTTAGAGGATAGTTATTAGGTATCTATTTTAGGCTTATTGTCGTACATTAATTTATCAGTCTCCTAACCTTCTTGTATTAAATAAATAAAATTATCCAAAAAGCTTTCCAGATTTCACACGACATGACAAGGAGAATTCCTAAAGAAAAATTAGGTATAACTTTGCGTAACAAGATAGTTTTGTTTACTTTAATCCTTCGGTCGATTTCCACATATGTATCTAGAATAGCAATGTATGTAAGTGCACATAAGTAAGTATATTTACGAACGCGAATGATTCCGCACCATTTCTGACGGTCAACAGAGGGAAGTAATTTATAGCGAGCTGCCAACAAGCGTCATAATTTATGAGCTGCAGCTAACCACACTGGTTCCCTGTACTATGCTCTGCCTACCCACTTACATATAGATAAGTATACCTTTTTAAATGTAGTGTAAGTTAATGAAAATATAAATACAAATACAAACATGTACAAATAATCATATTTGTTGTATTTGTGATAGGGGTCTTTTTTTTCTGTTAGTGACTCCTCCCGCCCAAGGCCGGGCGGGAGGGAGTGTCAGGCTCTTGCTGACTAAAAAACCCCCTGTTCCTTCTCCTGCTCTGGGCCGAGGTCGCGGTGCCTCAATTGTGATAGGGGTGTCAGGCTCATGCTGACTAAAACACCCCCTGTTCCGTATCCTGCTCTAGGCCGAAGCTACAATGTCTCATTGCGCATACCCCGCAGCCCCGGCTGAAAATTAGTCCTGTAGGGCCCTGTCTGTGGTGGACTAATGGCGCAATGTGACAGAAGCAGATTATCTTATATCGACTTAAAAAAGTTTTTTTTTATTCAGGCGGAAAAGTTTTATTTATGATAAATTTTGTCCATTTAAGTCGAGGGTGATGTTGACTCTTTTTAGAAAGTACAATGAAATAGTTTTTAGCTCGCTGCTTCACCATTTTTGTGCACTTGGTGAAGAAACCTGTCTTTTCTTGGGCTCTTTTTTGCACCAAACTAGGATTTTCCCCGTATCATGCATTTACAAACACAAGAATCGAATGTTTGACAGTAACCGCGTCAACTGAACAGCCATTGTATTCCTTCAGGGATCAAAGGTCGTGTCGCTATGTTTGGCATAATACGTATGCAAAGCTACCATACAAAGTAGGTATCGATTAGAAAGTCGTCATAAATATAGTGCGGCTGGAGCATCCGTTGCCGACTAGGATCCAATTATTTAGGAACATTATCGTGATAGTAGCCAAACCTCGGAATTGGCAACTATAGTCTATATTTTAGCCAGCCGTGATCCCAGTATGATAGCGCTACGGGCTTCCGTGCCCTCGGGACTGGGGTTCTAATCTGGGTAGTGCACATGTATAATGTAACAAGGCTAGCTACATTAAAAGCCTGTTATCTCATATATTAAACAGACGTCTCGATTGGTTTTCGAGCAGATTCGCCGTAATGGAGTGATTTTATGGTATCTTGTGTGGCCTTTCTTGTAATAATTGTGAGTGAATACGTCTGTGTGGTGTCTTGAAACGTGAGTGATGGTACTTTAATGTCGAATTTACAATATATGTATACATTTGAATGTACCTATATCTAAATTTATTGAAAACTAGCTCCTGTCGCGCGGTATCACTCGCTGCTCGGCTCCTACAAATCGTAGCGTGACGCTTTATAGCATGCAGTCCACCTCGATAAATGTACCAACAAACACAAAAAGAATTATTCACTTCGAGCCAGGAGTTCTAGAGATTAGCGCGCAATGTCGCTGCGACATGTACGCTGTTCATGATTTAGAGATCCGCTGTGACTTGAAACTAGTCGAATTTTTCTCAGTTAATTCACGCGAGTAAGTTGTTATTTTCTATAAATCTAGTGTGTCTCATGATAGTAACTTTTTTTTATCGAATGGATCGGCAAACGAGCAGACGGATTACCTGATGGTAAATAATCAGCGCCGCCCATGGACACCCGCAACGGAGGAGTTACGAGTGCGTTGCCAACCTTTTAGGGATTAGGGTTTTGGAAATTTAGGGATTGGGAGGGATCGGGGGAGGGGAAGGATTGCGCCTCCGGTAACCCCAGTCACACGGCGAAACACAACGCTGTGATTGTTTCACGTCAGAATTCTGGGAGGCCGTGGTATCACTCCGGTCGAGCCGACTCATTCGTGCCGAAGTTTGGCTCTCCCACACAAGTAACTACTACTACTATCACAACAAGTAACTACTACTACTCTCACGATAATAACTAGAAAATCGAAATATTTTTACGTAAAAAATAATTGACGAATTCGTCAATTATACTTTATGTAATTTGCAACTATTTATAGCCTTCCTGTGACTGCCAGGAAAAACTGCTAAAGAGGAATCCTCCGATAGCAAATCGAACGTGTTAAAAAGAGAACAAATAAGTAATTTCTAAAGAAAGGATAATTTTTTAAATTTTTAGTATCAAGGAATCTGTCTTGTTGGAGCATCTTCACATGACAAAATAATTGATAAATGTTTTTCAGATTCATCTATGTTTTATATTCAGCAATCCTTCGCCAATAATTAATATAGCTCCTAAATATTTAATTAATATTAAAACATTAATCTACCTCTATATCAGCAGAGATTGAGGGTCAAGCGCAATAATGTTATGTTAAATGTCTTTTTTTTCTGTTACACACTGTGTCTTATATTTTAATTATATTTACTGTCTCAGGTCTACTGGAAGAAATTCGAACAGCAATAAGTAGCACCTATGTACTCTTATTTTATATATATGTATGTATGTATATTCCTCTGGGATGTTTGTGTGTACATAAATTATTAAATAAATAAATGTTCCGCAGCCTCTTCCTGAAGTAGAATAACAGGGTAGTTTCAGTATGTAAGAGTATGAAATCCCTGTCTAGAGTGACACAAGTCATTTGATGATTTTCCCTCCTTAAAAAAGCCTCCTCCTCCTTATATATACGTTATACTTATAATGATATAGTGCTCACAAGTATTTGCGAATTTCTCAAGGACGCTTATCAACGGCAAGAAGTTGCGTATTATGTGAGGTCACGTCTGGGCCATGGCGAGCGTATAACTCTGTTGTTACTTTTATAATATTAATTAAAAACACATGTTGCTAGCATGTATGCAATAAGGCATCTAAGACCGCAGTAAATAATTATAAAATTTTAAGTCATTAATAATGTAGTTTGTACATTTTATTTAAGATTCTGTTCCATTCTAGGTTTTCCTCCTTTATCGTGGGTGACACTTTTTATCTTTTAGACTTGTTTGAAAGTGCGTTCAAAAGTGCCTGAAATGTTCTTTCAATTAGATCCCTAATTGAAATAAATGATTCTTGACTTACACTACCTATATATACATTTACAAAAAATGAATGGCAAAAACTCGAGAACAGCTGTACCTTTTTCGATAATGGTAACCTTCAAATACTTATTCACGAAAGTCCAGAGAAGATTTAGAAGGTCAGAAAATTTAAATTAATTGCATAAATGTTAGTAAAAACACAAACTTTATTTCCAGCGAATTAGGTTTTTGACAATGAACAAAACCGTGTTTACTTATGTTTGAGATACTATCACGTTAATTTTATGTTTGTGAGAATGTGGTTACGTATGGGCATTTGATACCATTTAACACAAGAACAACTAAACCAACCGGAATACAATTTAGCACAGAAGTCAAAAGTCAAAGTCAAAATCATTTATTCCAACTAAACCATATATAGGTACTTTTGAAACGTCCAAATAGAGAATTAGTCAGTCAGTCTGTTCGTCAGTGAAGCTAGGTGCTCATTCCAAATTGTCAGAGATAGATTAAACTCTGAAATAACAAATTTTACAATGGCTACTATTTACACTAGTAACAATGGCGAAGTCACAAGCAGAAGCGAATACTTTATAATGTTTATAGCATATTTAAATTCCAAAATTGACAATAATATCATCATGTCGTCAGTCACTTGTGGCAAAAAGACTGACGGCATCAAAAACCTTCAAAAATGGACTCTAACAAGAACTAAATACAGTAGCTTACCGCAGGAAATTTGTAAATTCCCTAAATAGTGCACAAAGTCGCTTCCATTCGGGTAAACACGACATTATTAAGCTTAATAAAGTGAAAATTAGGTCGGGAGAGGGAGGGGGGCACGCGGGGGGCCGTAATGTCTGACTTGGGATGATAATCAACCGATATTAACTGCTACTTGAGTGAGCTCTTACATTTTTATTCTGATGATCTGTTTAAGGGTGGGTCTCAACGATGCGATTGTTTGTTGCGATTTGTCGCTGTTGTTGTTTTTTTGTTTCAGGAGTGTTCTCTTATATGGTTTTAATATATAATTTAATATTTATTGTAAACTAGCTACTCTCACGCGGTTTCACCCGCGTTATAAGTGAAAGAATTTTGGCAATCCGACCTGCTGTTCCAAAGATTACCCTTACTTACAATCTTACAAATTTTACCTCATTATAATATTAGTATAGATAGCATCTTACTCGCAATTCCATCGCTAATATTATATGTTTTGTTAAATATATTGTCTAATGACAAAATAATTTAATATATTTTGTTTTAGTTTAAATTTTATGCTATGCGTTGAAATCTGTACAATATAATTTCAATACAAAAAGTCGCACCAGTGGAACCACACTGTGGTCGACAACATTACCATGTTATAGATATTTGCATACATTAGCCGACATTTGAGGACAGCCCTAATAAAAACATTGTCTTGCCAACGCTTCACAATTCCAACCTCTTTTCCCACTGTATTTCGATATTTAATGATAAGTTATATGAATTCAAAATATTTGCATAGTTTAAATATAAACAAATAACTCTATTTGTATTTATTTAAGTTTCAATTTTGCTTGGATACATAAATTAATTTTTCGGAAGTGTAAATGTACACTTGGGAGGTCTACGTAGCCGTAGCGCGCTACGACAGTGCTACGCCGTAGCATCGTAGCATACAAATGTATTTACATAATGTATTTGTATATCAATTATATTATAATTTTAATAGAATTTGTACAGAATGCTCCTATAGATTTGCCCAATATTTTTGGGAACATTGAACTACCAGACCATCACAAATGACGTCTATTAGGGATCGGCCCTACTAGACCTAGTCCAGAAGGAGTTGCAGGTGTAACCATAATAGTATACCGCGGCCCTACTAGGAGGAGAAATGGGGTTGGTTTTTTCAGTAAGAGTCTGGTACTCCTTCTCGCCTCACCCAGGTCTGGAAAAGTCGTTACAAAATGTTACCGCTCAAAAGCAAAAGCCCTTGGTAAAGACAAACAAAGCAAAAGGATTGCTAAAAGCTAATTAATCTGTTTTGTTTTGTTCTGTCTAAGTATCCTGTAAAACCTAAATCTTAGTTTCAGACACCAATTTGAAAATAAAAAATCCATCATTAATACAAAATAAATCCGACAACTTCTTCAAAACCTCATTCAATCAAGCAAGAGGAAACCAGGAAAATTCGGGCGTTAACTATCCGAAAACTAACTACAATTATAATAAAAATGGCCAAAGTCGGAGGCAGACAATAGTAACTCTTTGCCGAGTCATAATTCATAAGGTTTTAACTGTTACAGTCAGTTTGGTTAATCTTTATAACCTTTTACACGAAGCTGAGCTCTTAATACTTCCGCATCTAATTATGGCCGCGGTGGATGATGGCGCGTGGGTCTGTGCCTGACATTCTGTATTTATTATTAATCCTACCTCCTAAAAGACTTCATCAATGGCCATTTGATGACTAGTATAACAGCTAAACAGAAGCTCTTGAGGTACATAGATCCTCTATTGTTATTAAGTTGAGTTGCACTGAGTATTCTTACAAATGCACAAGACGTAGTCTGCAATTGTGACTTGTGTGTTTTTTATGTCATAAGTCAGCAATCGAGCAGTCGGGTTTCCTGATGGTAAGCAGTCGGTGCCGCCTATAGACATTCGTAATATCAAAGGAGTTATACCTAACAAGTGCCGCCTTCTTTTCGGTGTTAGGGATTTATGGATAGGGGATTTGGGGCTAGAGGATAGTAAGGAGGAAGGGGAGGGTTTGGGGTTTCGAACAACCTCACTCACATGGCGGAACACAGAGTAAGCGTTGCTTTATGCCGATTTACTGTGAGGCAATGGTATACTCCGGTCAAGCCCACCTATTCCTGCTGAAGCATGGCTCCCCCACACTTTAAAGTAAAAATTCACTTTGATGATACATGAAACATAAATCGGCAGACTTGGGTGTCGAATTTAATAAAATGTTTTTTCCGACTGCCCTCTGTGTATTAAAAGGCATGATGGTTTGTTATGTTACGATTTGAACCCTTAAAACACACAAAATATTGTTCTGAGCAAGGTTTAGGTAATCTAAGCTTTGTTCCGAATATTTTGTTACACTTACAGGTTATTTTCCGTTTTTTTTTTGTCTGAAAATAACTGCAATTAAGGTAACTTACTGATTAATCTATCCTGTGTAACAAGATATTCAAGGACAGTTCGGTCACATATGATATTTTTTTTATTTTAGGACAATAACTATCTGTGCTTATAAAATTGACAAATAAACTATTATTATTATAAATAAATATTCAATCATAGTTTAGTATTTAGTCTGATCAATTTTAAATGATTCATCACTACTAGATAATTTGAATATATTGAAGTTTTATACTACTGTACTAAGTGTACTACATCCTATAAGCCAGTTCAAACCCATTCAAAACTACTTCAGAACATCGATTAGCCAAATGTGATAATGAATCATATTTAAAAGCGTTTCAAAATAAATTTAAGATCATTGTAGGAAAACTGAATTTCGCTGAAAGGTGTTTAGTTCGCCAATGTAAAGAAACATAGTGCTAGTAATAAGTGAACGAGGAAATATTTTGTTTAAGAAAAAGTTTTCTGAGACATATTTTTCCGGAAATTTAGCATTTGTGAATCATTTTTGAAGTGTAAGTGTGTATATAGAATACTTGGGAACTCATAACAGTATTTTCTTATACATAGTTTAGACTTCTGTCTTGTTTAATTATGTAGTATTAAATCTTAAAATTTTGCTGTTTTAGGAAAATACAAGAAAGTCTCCAGCCACACACACTGCATACATTATCTATAAATTACTGTAAATATTTCGATTACCACGTATTCTGGATTCCTAGCTAACGAACGACCTGGTTTTATCGATCGTTAAACCGGCACAAAAATAATAAAAAATAAATATATACAGCGTGGGACACGTCGCGCTGCCAACGTTTACATCCTACTAACTACACCGTGCTTGTTTTACTAGTGCTTTGTTTATGCGCACGCGCATCTCTGTTGCGACACTGGTTTAAAACAGTTTATAGGTGAATTTATTGCACTAATAATGTTTTTGTAAATTGACGTCTGAAATCCGTCAGAACAACTATTTTTCACTCGGCCAGCCACTAAATCTATTTCAGTAACAATACAATGGTTTATTTTAAAACCTTGGACGACTTTATGACAGCGGAAATATTTACATGTCATCGGACTGTCAAAAACTATGTAAAATTGAGTGTTAATTTCAGCAGCGACACTTCCATCTGGATGTGTCAGCGAGATGAATATTAGTCAGGGCAGATCACTAAAGCTAAGACTCACCTGAAAAAATAGGCAAAAACACACCCATTGGTAGTACTTGTATATCTTCCTGTCGCTCATATCTTCCTTCCCTTTCTCGCGGCTGTTGCCGATACCAGGGTACGGCACCTCGACGCCCACCTTCTTGTGGAAGAAGCTCCGCAGCGTGTAGGTGGAGTGGATCCAGCAGTAGGTGTTGAGCACGTCCTCGGGGATGTCCTTGGTGTGGATGCAGTCGATCGGGTTGCCGACGTACTGCCTCGTGGTCACGATCAGGCTGAACGAGATCAGCAGGATGACGGTGATGGAGTAGTGCAGACGGAATACCGGCGAGTCGATGTGGACATAGTTCACTTTAATGAGATTCTTCAATCCACGAAAAACGTCTAACATCTTAAACGTTTAACCTGATCATCCGTGTGTCTGTGTTCACTAACATTATTTATTGTTTCGAAGCACCAAGATTACACTATTTATAACGTAAGGCACTGTTTAGTTTGGCAGTGAGATTGTCCCGGGTCATGCCACTGCGCGCGTCCTCTCACTCTCACGTCGCTCTAACTTGTTCGGTATCTTGATGAACTTGAGCAGAGACAGCGCTTGGCTCATGTTTTCTTCGTTTCATGGTGTGGCTAGTGCGTGCGCGCGCGCGGCCGCCATGCCGGCATCGCGCCCCGCTCATCCAGCCAGCGAGCGATGACGCCGCGCTGCGTAACGCTTAGGAAATTAATCTTCTACGAATTAACGTAAACTAGATTACCAGGTCAGATGTTCTAGTACAAATTTATGAGTTCACACGTCGTCGATCCGCCGGAGCACCCGCGTCTTACCCGCGCCGCAACCGAGTGCTAATCGGTGTAGGAAACTGATGAAAAATATTTAAATTATGATCCTAAATACAGCCAGTGTATTCCCTGTGGCTTAATTTATGCGTCGCTGTGAGTCAGAGGCGAGAGGTGCAGGAGAGCGGTGCTACTGGGAATGACTAACCGCAATATTATGATAACTGTAGTAGTTTACGAGCGCCGCACCTCATGTGAGTTAAGTATATCTACATTAGATATTTATTAGTGCTGCTAGTACCAGCCCGCGTCGGCCTAAGCTCGCGCCGAATGCAATCACAGCGTTTCTACAATACGTATTCGCGTTTATTGTGTCTGGCATTCCCTTCACTGTGGGATATTTTAAACAACAATGACAATCTTTAGGAGAGTATCACGCGGTTCTAAGAATTCTATTTCTCGAGCCGAGACAATTTATGGGCCAGTGCTGGTTCAAGGCCCGGTTTGTCACAAAGTGTGCCACGCGCCGATGTTTCTGTTAAATTGTGCTAATATTTACACGTAAGATTTTAAGAGCTCCTTTGAAATATTATATTTAGTAGCCATTGTTTGAGATGATTCAGCTCTTGTCTCAGGGCCGCTTGGCTTTTAACCGACCGGACTTAAATGATGACAACTATTTCCTCGTTATTTTAGATCAAAGACTAAATATTTACTTTTACAGTTTAAGCTCTAACGAAATAGCTTAAATATATGCTGCAATAAAAACAAGTCAAAATTTTTGCAACCATAGACAATCAAACAGAATGACGTAAAATTGAGCGGGAAATTATAGTTGTCATACAATTGGCTCATGACTTTTATTTCAATCGTTATTAATCTGTTTAAGTCGGATAAGCCTCTTTTGAGCCATGTGTTTTACGACAGATTTATTTTAAAATACAATATTCATTACAGGCTATAGAAGAACATTCAATATGTTAAAAGAACAAAGCATTTAATATGTTGCATGCACTCAAAAGCTTAGTGAACACATCAAAGGATTACGGAGGGGCAACGCAAGAGTAATTTATCAATATCAGTCTTACTAATCGTTGTATTTGTAACTTTATTAGTATCTGTTCCATACTCCCGATACTAAAATAACACTTATACTTTATACGATAATATGAACATAATAATATTATAGAAGATATGATACAATAATATCTCCATAAGTAGTTAGCTTCATACTTATTAAATATGTACGTATGTACATACAAAATAATACTGATTTTCTACTAAGGTGTCATATCATCCATTCTAACAGAAGTCCAAATAATTATAATTTATTATTATTTAAATTGTCAATAAAATGTAAGGATGATACCTATAACGTTTAAAATAGTTAAAAACAATATGTACAGGTTTTGTAAGTTTTTTTATGTGTAATACGCCAAACGCAAACGAGCCGTCTTTTGGGGATTTAAGGATTGGGCAGAGATGAGGGGAGGGGAAGGATTGGGCCTCCGGTAACCTCAATCACACGGCGAAACACAACGCTGTAGTTGTTTCACGCCGATTTTCTGTGAGACAGTATCACTCCGGTCGAGCCGATCCATTCGTGCCGAAGCATTTCTTTTCCACACCAACTACGTATATTTTTTCTTTGAATACGTAAAATAGAAAGAAATAAGTAACATAATACATATTACGTACCTATATTAGTTTTATTTTCTGTGTGAGAGCACACGTATCTTCAGCGTGTTTGGGTTGCCAACATTTTTATATCAAGTTGTATGCAATTCATATTGCGGACGTGGAATTCTTTTTATTTTTTTATATGCGTAAAAATGTTGGTTTTCTTCAACAGAGTAAGTAAGTTTATTTCGCGAATCGATTATGTTTTAAACATTTCCGATAAATTCGCCATGTGATTGATATATTACCATTTTAATGAGTCGCCCATAAATTATATTAAGACAGATGGTAGCCAATATCTAAAATCAAATTAATTGCATTAATTAAAAAATATTTTTATAGTAAACAGCCGAAGATAATTACAATGATTTATCGATTACTAATCTGACAATAAAATAATATTGCCATAATAAATAAATGCAGAGACAAACTATTTGTCAAAATTAAGCGGTCGAAATCTGGCAATCTTGTAGGGTTGCCAGCTTTTTTTGGGATCGTGAATTATGTATCACACGCCGCATCCTTAGCTGTTTGGCAAAGAAAAAGCTGCCAAGTGTAACGTACGTACTTAAATATTTCCCATGCCTTGTATGCCTGAGTTTTGCCTGAATTTTTAACATTTCCTTCCAAAGTATCTCTGTATTGTTCCGTTTATAATAATGCACCCCACTAGAATAGAATGAGAAGATACGGTAAGAATAAAGAGTTTTAAATAAAAAATATATATAATAACATGTATCAGAATTCGTCGTCAGACAGTTACTCGAGTAAAGCATCAAAGTCAATGTCAAAATAAAAATTATTTATTTCAATTAGACTCTTACAGGCTTACCCGCAGTTTTGAACTTCAAACAAGCTTAAAGATAAAAATTATCAGTCTGTCGGTCTCTTAGCGAAGCTATTGGCTCGTTCCAAAGTGTAGATTCCGTTGGAGAAGAGAGAAACGAGTAACTCCATGGTTATTCGTTTTTACACGACTGCCCAAAAAAGGAGTGTTGTTTTTTTAATTAGCTTTTCAATTTCATCAAACACAATACTCACATTTACTTGTTTTATGTTATATGTATATGTTATATGTATAGGTCGCAAACGAGCAGAAGGATTACCTGATAGTAAACAATCTTCGCGCCAATGGAGACCCGCAACACCAAAGGTGTTACGAATGCGTTGCCGGCCTTTTGAGGATAAGTGTTTCCGATAACTAAAGGATTAGGAAGGGATGGGGGAAGGGTAGGGATTGGGCCCACGGTAACTACAGTCACACGGCGAAACACAACTCTGTGGTTGTTTCACGCCGGTTTTCTGTGAGGCCATGATGTCACTTGGGTCGAGCAGACACATTTCCAATTCCATCAAACACAATACCTTATTATCTTTGTTTTTTTTTTAAACTTATCAGGATGCCCTTTTGACCTCTAACACGATGCAGTCCACTGATGCGTGCTACTGCACCCACTGACATTCATCCGTATTGCTATCAACCCATGGGTCATAAAGTAATAATGCTTTCAACCATAGGAGTCATGGGATTTGGACAATCAAACGAAATTATCTATAAATCGATTTTTTTACTATCATCATAAATATTGTTCTACGAAATTTTAAATATACCTACCTACTTGACTACCTACCTACTATGTGTCTTACTTTTCTCGGTTATAGTACCTATCTATAACTATTCATTGGCTTACCTAATTCAAGACTGCTATTTTGAAAATGCTATAAACAAAATGTCAATGCCAGATCCGACCAGTTTTAGCCACATCCTTAACAGTCGAACTTAAAAACTTTGCCCCATACTTGGATTTTCTCTTGTGTCTTGAGTGCGTTTACAAACAAACAATTTTAACAACACATGACACCCGACACCAAGACCCGATAGACTTCACTATTAACTTCAATACTTGCTTAAAACTTATTTCCAAATACAAAAAACAATACATCAAACTCCCCTACAGTAAAAAAATAACATAATATTACCTATAAACTGTAAATTGATACACATCAGATTTTAAATGTATACTAAAATAATTTACTCTGTGGCAACCCTAGCCGCCCAGTTAACGACCTCCTTAATTTACGACGACTATTCAAAGGAACGTTGTTCCGCTCAGCATATTATTATTTTTTTAATTTTCCTCTGTTATACTTAACTGTGTTAATTTCGTATATTTTTGGTCCACTAATCGATTTTAGGTCAAGGACGGCTAACTATGGCAGGAAACGGACGCAGGCGCATAATTCTCGTGATTATGCGTTCGGGAAGTTTCGTCAATGTTCGGTTGTCATGTCGGTGTGTAACGTGAGTTATTTTCTTAAATGTCGGATGTGTGTAGGTTAGTGTTATGAATTATATAGAAAATTATAATGATGTCCTGTTTACTATTTCTTTGTTGATTTTTATATATTTCATTTCAGATTAGAGAGAATTTTGAATACTGGAATAATGAAAGTGACCTGTAAACTTTGGACTTTGCACATTCATTTTTGTCTCTTCCTTACTTAATACTGCTACTAACGATGCCATTGAAAACAAGGTTTTGGGGCCTGTTAATCAGTACAAAAATAACAATTTCAAGTGCCTTCTAGGAAACTTTGTTTAATGCCAATATAATCACAAAAGTGTAATTGCTATAGATCGTGCAGTCTACGAAAAGTTATACACCTAATTGTATCGCCATCAAAACCATAACTTTAAACCCTAGGATCCAGTAATAAAATACAAAATTAAAAAAATATGGAAGAATAGCTAGTACAGCTTCATACATTTGTTCCTGCCATCTGCCATCATCAGCTTACAGCGAAGTGAAGCCGGAAGGCTAAAGACGAGATATAAAAGATCAGCTAATTAGTGAAACTCTTCATTCATCTGTTTCACACAATGCCATAGAGATCATTATAGACTGTTCTGACATAATAATGATTACGACATTGGTGGTTTGCAGGTTGAATATACAGACGTCATCGTGTGCATTTTAAAAACGGTTTTCTTTTTTGAATTTGCTTGTTTTATATTTTTTATCGAATAGAATCGACTCCAAAAAGGAAGAGGTTTCTCAGTTGGGCCTTACCTATCTATCGTTTGTTTTTGATGTCGGTTTTTTAAATGTAGTTTTATGTTTTTGGTACTTAAGTGAAAATTACAATTACCAATGCCTCATTGTTAATATAATTTGTGTTGCATTTATTGTATGCAATTCTTGTCAAAATTATAACGTACCTAACGTAGGTAAGTGCAACAATTCAATATTTTTTTATTATTTATTTACTCTAAATTAGATATTAGAATACACCCTTATCTCTATCCATTT